AGAATTGCCATTTTTACTATGTTGATCCTCCCAATCCAAGAGCAAGGGAGATCCTTCCATTTTGTGATGTCTTCTTCAATTTCTTTCTTCAATGACTTAAAGTTCTTTTCAAATAGATCTTTCACTTCCTTGGTCAGAGTTACCCCAAGATATTTTATGTTATTTGTGGCTATCATGAAAGGTGATGCTTCTCTGATTTCCCTCTCTGGTTCCTTATCCTTACTGTATAGGAAGGCAACTGATTTTTTGGAGTTGATCTTGTATCCTGCCACATTACTAAAGTTGTTTATCAGCTGTAGGAGTTCTTTGGTAGAGTTTTTGGGGTCGCTTATGTATATTATCATATCAACTGCAAATAACGAAAGCTTAACTTCTTCCTTTCCAATACGAATCCCCTTGATCCCCTGATGTTGTCTTATTGGTATTGCTAGAACTTCAAGCACTATATTGAAGAGGTAGGGAGAGAGTGGACATCCTTCTCGTGTTCCTGATTTTAGTGGGATGGCTTTGAGTTTTTCTCTGTATAATTTAATGTTAGCTGTTGGCTTGCTGTAAATAGCTTTTATTATATTTAGGTATGACCCTTGTATCCCTAATCTCTCCAAGACCTTTATCATAAAGGGATGTTGAATTTTGTCAAATGCTTTTTCAGCATCTAATGAAATGATCATATGGTTTTTTTTCTTTCAGCTTATTTATATGATGGATTACATTGATAGATTTTCGTATGATGAACCAGCCCTGCATCTCTGGGATGATTGCGTTTTGTAGGATTGCCATTTTTCCTATGTTCATCCTACCAATCCAAGAGCATGGGAGACCTTTCCATTTTCTGGTATCCTCCTCAATTTCTTTCTTCAAAGACTTAAACTTCTTGTCAAATAGGTCTTTTGCTTCCTTGGTTAGTGTTACCCCAAGATACTTTATGCTATTTGTGGCTATTGTAAAAGGTGATGTTTTTCTGATTTCTCCTAAGTCTCTTTATCATTTGTGTATAGGAGGGCTACTATTTTTTTTTTTTTGATCTTGTATCCTGCCACATCACTGAAGGTATTTATCAGCTGTAGGAGTTCTCTGGTAGAGCTTTTGGGGTAACTTATGTACACTATCATATCATCTAAAAATAATGAAAGTTTGACTTCTTTCTTTCCAATTCGAATATTCTTGATCTCCTTATGTTGTATTATTGCTATTGCTAAAATTTCAAGAACTATGTTGAGGAGATACGGAGAGAGTGGCCAGCTTTGTCGTTTCTGATTTTAGTGGAATAGCTTGAGTTTCTCTCCATTTAATTTGATGTTAGCTGCCAGCTTGCTGTATATTGCTTTTATTATATTTATATATGACCCTTGTATTGTTCAAACATGAGTAACTAATCACTGGCAAATTCTTCTAAAATATTACCATTATTTTATTAAAACAAAAGTCTATTCTTTTGAAGGCAAATACTAGCAATTTGGTAATTTCTCTGTGTTCATGAGAAAAAAGAGAAATAAGGCATATTCAAGTCCATTTATTTAATTTCTTTCAGAAATATGTAAGTTTATAAATTCATACAGAGTTGCTGAATTTTTAACTGTTATCAAAGAAAGAACTACTAAGTAAAATTTCCTATACAACTCAGGTTATCACTGTTTTGATAGAATGACAAAGGTACAATCTACATAAAAGAGTTAATAGTCAGTCGCCCATTGTAAAATTTCATGAGATAAGCAAAATCACATGTAATGTAGTAAAAAAGATTATTGTGTATGTGCCTGTGGCTAGTTATATTCACTTTTCTGATGTGTCAGTTTAATCTCTATACTACATTATTGCAGAGAGTGAAGACACAATTGAACATTAATTAGAAACAATTTACTTGTTGCCCACATGGTTAGTCCCTTCTTTTCCTTTCACAAACAAAGCTGAAAGTATTTTCCTTGGAGTCCTTGGTCGTCATCAGAAAGGGAATCACGGTTAGGAAACACCCAGAGACAATTGCAGCAATATTAACCAGGAGCCAGGTTGGATCATACAGAAGAGCTAAATTAGGCTGCATGAGGCAAGAAAATGTGAAGAAAGAGACATAGGTGCTCACCAAGGACAGAATGTTCTTTGTAGCTCTGCTCTCCAGGGAAGACATAGTTTCCTCTGGAGAGGAAAAAGTTGCTCCTATGAATATATGTCATTTTGTTCTTGTGTCTTAGAGAATGTAAATCATGAAACTGCTGGACCACCACATCGGGCCCATGAACAAGACATCAAGACTTGAGAGTAATACTATATAGAGGATGACACTAGTTTTGTCATGATGCATGACAGCATGACATCCAAACTATTTTTGACTTATCACATTTCTATTATTCCTTTTTAAAGTCATGTTCATATGAAAAATCATGTTTGCTTTGAGCGATAGTAACCAGTGCAGGCACACACTAGAAGCAATGTAACTTGGAGACTTGATTTTAGCCTTTGTCCAACTGGAACACTTAGAGCTGATCGTGATGGCCTAAAAGACACACTGCAAGCTGGTGCTGCTGATGGACACATCCTTCCCTACTCTGTGAAGATAGAAGTTTGAAGAAATAAAGAAATTAAAATCCTCCTTGAATTCAATGAAAATAAAGACACAACATACACAAACCTATGGGACACTATGAAAGCAGTGCTAAGAGGAAAGTTCATAGCACTAAGTGCCCACTTAAAGAAAACAGAGAAAGCACACGTTGGAGACTTAACAGCCCACCTGAAAGCTCTAGAAAAAAAAAAGCAGAGTCACCTAGAAAAAAAAAAGCAGACTCACCTAGGAGGAGTAGAAGACTGGAAATAATCAAACTGAGGGCTGAAATCAACAAAATAGAAACACAGAAAACAATCCAAAGAATCAATGAAACAAAAAGCTGGTTCTTGGAGAAAATCAACAAGATTGATAAACCCCTATCCAAGCTAATCAAACAGCAGGGAGAGAATACACAAATGAAAAGCACTGATCTTCAATGTCAAACAGTAAGAACTTTGGCGAATACAATTCTTTTTTTGTAACAGAAAACAATTATAACACTGAAAAATAGACGATTATTTAAAAAAAAACTCTTCAAATTAATAATAATAAAAGAAAAGCTCACCATGGGCTTTGCCTGTCCTTCTCACGCATACCCATGGCTACTTAATGACTCTGCCCTACTTAGAGCTGGGCTCGGAAAATAAGCGGAGGCTGGTAACACTGTGCTGGAGAGTAACCTGGCCCCTAACCCTCTTACAGAACCGGCTCTGCTCACTTCCACTCTTTTTGTTTTGTTTTGTTTTTGTTCACTACCCGGGAGCGTGCTATGCCCACCCTCCACTTTATTCCATCACTTGGGCCTTGGTCCCGCCCACATTCCCTTACCAGCTGGTTCTCCGCCCTCATCACGCCATCTCGTCATTGAAACCCTCACTATCCTGACCACCTTTCTCCTGCCCTGCTGAAGTTCTGGACTCTGGACTCTACCCGTACTCACCGACCTCCCCTCACATTTTCGTCTCAGTCCGTCTATATCCTCTAGTACGCCCCTCGACAACGTCAATCACTCTGTCTGACCCTGCCTACTTTCCCAGAGCTGGCTTGGAAGCACTTCCGCCGCGGCCCGGATGCAGTTCATCGCAGGTCAACTCCTGTAGTCCGGTGAGTTTGCCCAGAGCCTTTAGACTGGTTGCCTGCCTAGGAGCTGCGGCGAAGAACCCATGCCCGGGAACCGTATTTTGTGCGCCCAGCTCAACCCGCGTGACGCGGAGAGCCGCGAGACTGAGGAAGTAGGGACGTGAGAGAGAGATGGCAGCAGAGCGAGACGAGGGCTGCCCAGAGAAGAAGCACCCAGAAAGGATCAGGGACACGGATTCAGACGCTTCTGCGGCTGGGAAGGAGACTTGACTGTCGTTGGTGCGGGAAGAGCCAGGCGATAGTGGACTAGAGAGGGATGAAGCTGCAGGTGACTGGAGGGAATACAGAAAACAGGGTCTGGATTACAGAAAGCAACGGGAAGTGAGGGGCCACGAGCTGAGCTGCCATTGTGTGGAGGGTGGCTGGAGAGAAAGAAAAGCTGGTGGAAGGTGTCAAGGAGATAGTGCAGAATGAGGGCGGGAGAGGCTAGATAAGGGAGGAGTTGATGGGTTCATAGGGTTATTGTTATTGAGCTTGCCTTTTTGTTGAAAAAGCTTTGCTTAGATGTTGGTGGTGAGAAAGAGAATTGCAAAATGTGTATCTGCCGAGCACGTATTGTGCAGGGCATGTTGGCACACACCAGTAATGTCAGGGTGTGGAAGTAAAACTGGGGTAGGAATATGGACAGTTTAAGGCAGCCTGGAAAAGATAACTTAAGGCACTTTCCAAGTGAGTAAATAATGTTGAGGTTTGAGGATACTGCCCCCTTCTTTAGACCTTCTTCAGCAGGAACAGTGATGTGACTCCTTTACACATGGTCACTCTTTGGTTTCACAGGTGTGGTATGGAGGAGTGGTGGGGTGTTTTCCTCGTTTCTAAAAGTGTCAACTTTCTTGTTTTCTCTCCTGCAGTAGTTCATTGTCCCTACAGCCCCTTGCTGCAGTGGGCTAAAAAGGTCCATCTTTCTGCATGGTGAATTCCTCCCAGTGACTCTGGCTGTGGTATAGGAAGTGGGTGCCTTGCTTAGCTGGTTTGAATGTCCCTGTAACCCCAGCTCGCAGGAGACTCAGGCAGGAGGATGATGAGTTCAAGTCCAGTCTGGGCTGTATATTGTGCCCTCATCTCCAAAAGGGAAGGGAAGTGGCTGTGTTTATCTGGAACATTATGTTTTACTACCTTTGAGAGAAGGTTTTGCTAGTTCTACTAGTTCCACAAGGCCTTAAAATCACTAGCCTGACTGGCCTTGAGTTCACAATCCTCAGCCTGTAGTGCTAGCATTGTATATGTATGCAGGCCCATTCTCTTTTAATATTATTCAGAAAATTAGGGTTTTATTAGTGAAAGCACGTCACAAACCTGTGATATCTTAATTGTGTGCTTTTGGTATTCAGGACTGACTTCTGAATACTCAAGTTACTCAAGAAAGAAACTGGGAGGAGGAGAATGAAGAAACAGAAAGAACCAGTGATGTCTGCCATGAAGGTAAAGTGAGCCACTGTCGTGGTCCCACCCCCCCACACACACACACCACATTTTTTTCTGCTCTCCCTGAAGTGTTAGGCATGGAAGCTGCTGTCCTGCACTGAGTGTAGCACAGACATTTCACTTGCTCTTCCTCGTGTTTTTCCTTAGCCTTTGTTGTGTTCACTAGATTTCATCTCACAATAATCCTGTGATATAGAACATGGAAGAAACTTCTATTGAATATGTTCTAGAAGCAGCCCCTGTGCTAAGGATTGCCTAGTAAGGATTGACCAGTTGGGCTATCTAAGTGGACTGTTAGCTCTCTAGATGTAGGAAAAAGACGCTATACTTTGAAATCACATGTTGACATACACACACAGATACTTCTTCAATTATGGGGATAAGGAGACCTTCATGTGAAACCGCATTCTTCATAGCCCAGTATACTGCAGATATAATGTCAGTGGTCATTGTTTCCAAAAGAACATCTCAACAACTAAAATTGGGATAAGGGTTAGAGGCTGTTGCATTTCACCATTAAGATATTAGGGTTTTTTTCACCCCTTGTTTTCAGAGAGAGTAAGATTATCTTTTTGGTAGCTAAGACTGCTTCCTCAGTGCGTTCTGGGCTATCATCATCTCTCTGTGTATGTGGAGTATGTACTTGTTCATGTGAGTGTATGCTCATACTTTGTAGGCATGTTTGAAGGCCAGAAGTCAACTCAGTCATCTTCCTGAGCGGCTTACTACTCTTATTTTGATAGACAGCATGTCTTATGGGATCTGGAGATCATTAATTGGTTAAGCTGGCTGGACACTAAGCACCATGGATTTGTCTCTCCACTAGTACAGTACTGAGTTTACAGATGCTCTCAGCTTTTACATGATGCTGGGGATACAAGCTCAGGTCCACTTGCTTTCCAGGCAAGCACTTTACTGCCTGAGCTGTCAGTATGAACCAGCCTGAGTGCTCAACAAAGGGGGCTCTCCTGTAGACCCTGCTGTTCCCACGTGACTCTTCTGAATCTCACATTTCTGATAAAAGTAATTCTATTTTATTATAAGGAGCATATTTCCTTATAATAAAAAACACAATAATATTTTCCTCCTATTAATTAGTATTGAATATTCAAAAGTAAAAATGTAAATGTGTATCCTAAACAGACTCTTTAATCATAAATTTGGAAGCAGTCCTGAATTTTAGGAAGTGAATTGAAGCATTCTTTTCCTTGCCTATTACTGTTTCTTAGACACCAGGAAACCACAGCTGCAGTTCTTTCAGGAGTTTAAAAGATTTTTTAGGGTACTTTATTTTGTAAGTTTTCCCATTAGGAAAGTAGAGTAGCTTCTCTCTCTCTCTCTCTCTCTCTCTCTCTCTCTCTCTCTCTCTCTCTCTCTCTCTTTCTCTTTCTCTCTCTCTCATTTTCTTTTGTTTCCTATTTTTCTTTCTGATTTTCCAAGACAGGGATTCTCTGTATAGCCCTGGCTGTCCTGGAACTTGCTTTGTAGGCAGGCCTCAAACTCACAGAGATCTATCAGCCTCTGCAAGCCCTGGGAGTAAAGATGTGTGCCATCACTGCCTGACATACTCTTTTCTTTTGTGACAGTCTTTCACTCTGTTTTCTGGAACTCTATATAGTTCAGACTGGCCTTGACCCCATAGTAAAATCTGTAGCTTCAACCTCCAGAGGCTTGGTTTTACAAAAGTAAGTTACCATTTCCAGTGCTTTTTCACAGTCTTGTGGGAACATTCTATAAATGAATGTACATAGTTCTCACATAGTGTTCAGTGAACACATCTTGATTGCGTTCTTGATAAGTGCTACAAATTACCCCTCTAGGCTTGGTATTAGAATTATACCCTTCTAAGTGGTTCCTGTATTTTCATACCATCTCAGGTTTCATTGCTAAAATCCAAAAGTTTTTTTGGATTTTTCGTGGTCTACATATTGTTGATAAATTTGTGTATAAAGTAGAGTGTTTTTTGTTGGATTGCATGTTTCATGAGACTGTGATGAGGAAACAGTCCTCTTGATTACCTGGTTCTGTGTTGTAACCACATCAATGTGTTAATTTTAGTAAATCTACTTCTGCTGTTCTCTTCACCACCTTCTTTTCCTCTCATTGAGTGGTAATGATTGCTGCATGCCTGGCTAGTCACCTCTCTGCTTTCCATCCTCTGGAGAAAATGGTAGTTTTAATGTTTGGGTTTATTTAATATCATGTTTTGTTTTCCTACATATTTTTACTGCTGACTAGTGAACACAGGTTTGAGCTGTACCTTCAACTTTTTTGCTTATAAAATGATTTTTTTTTGTGGGGAGGGAGCTAGAGAGATAGAGATGACTCAGCAGGTAAAAGATCTGGCTGCTCCTCCAGAGGAGATGTGTTGTATTCTTAGCATCTACATGGAGGCTCATCACCATTTGTAACTTCAGTTTCAGAGAACCTAACACCCTCCTCTGGCCTTCTTGGGCACCAGGTACTCCTGTCTTACCCAGACATACATCTTAGCAAACATTTAAACATACAAAGTAATAAGCCCACTCTATCCCTGCACTCAATATGCAGTACAGTCCGGCCGTGAATTCATAGAGATCCTCACACCCCAGCCTTTAAAGTGCTGGGTTAATAAGCCTGTGTCATGGCACTGAGCTGACTTCTTAAGGCCCCATGATGTCATCTCAGAAGACACTTCATGAATTAGCTCAGCTAGAAACTGAACTGGGTGTGTCAAACATCTTATCTACCACTTGAATTGAGGTGAGCCTGTTTGTTTTTCTTTTTCTTTTATCAAATAAGTACCAAGTGGTAGTTAGGGGAATTGGGCAAAAGGGGGTGACAAAAGGTTTTGGAGGACACAGTGAACGTTTATCAGAGTGGGCAGTGAATGAAAGGAGCAGACCTTGTGTTGGCGTTTGTTTATTTTTGTATTGTCTACAAACATGAGAAATGCTCTGTAACGTGATATCATAATATCTCATTACAAAGCAGAATAACATTAGGGACATACTGTGTTGTTCTGATGCATCTTAATTTAGGAACCTAGGAGAAACAAGGGTAGGTCTTGTACACTCGTTAATCAGAAAGTTTAGGGTAGCCCACATGTGTGGCATTTTTCTTACATACCAGTCAAGTAGCTCTGCAGTATACTGCAGCCCAGTGTCAGCTAATTCAGTTGCATTCTGACACTAAACAGCTGGAGGACTCAGTTTCACAGAATATGGTCAGCAAGGATCTATACAGCTTCCTCCTCAGTTTTATGGTTCATTTCTTAGGGCAACTTACAAAACCAAGGAAACTCTTTACTTTTTCCTATTTATTATAAAGAACATTCCAAAGACTCTAGATGACAGGTTGTTCAGAGAAGACACAAAAAGCGATGTACATGAGATGGGCTGTGACTTTCACTCCCTCCTTGGGTAAGCCACTCTTTAGTACTTTCCCCATAGCAGAATGTAGGGTAAAAGCTTTAAACTGACTTGAGGTTTTATGAAGATTCCATTATTCACATATTAATCCCTTTGGTCATTGGTATTCACACATGCCTTTAGCCCCAATCCTCTCCATGGTGGATGGGGACTAAGACCTGAAGTTCGAACCTATTCCTGCCTTGCTCGTCTTGGGCCCTGGAAATTGTCCTGTAACTCGGGACTTCATTTTACCTTTTATCATAATCATAGGAAACAAATCCATTCTTATCACTCTGGAGATGCCAGGTGAACTGTATGTCTGAAAACTAGGCAAAAAACGTATGTTACAGGAAGGCTGTTTGTTTGTACCCTGGCCACCCAGACTCCTGAAATAACCGCAGAGAAACTGTATTAATTAAATCACTGCTTGGCCCATTTGCTCTAGCTTCTTATTGGCTAACTCTTACATCTTAATTTAACCCATTTTCTATTAATCTGTGTATTGTCACATGGCTGTGGCTTTCTGGATAAAGTTCTGTCCAGCCAGGGCTACATGGCTTCTCACTGATTCCACCTTCTTTCTCCTATCATTCAGCTTAGTTTTCCTCACCTATCTCTATTTTACCCTGTCAGACCAAAGCAGTTTCTTTATTCATTAACCAATAAACGCAACACATATATAGGAGGACTTCCCACATCAGATATATAGTTTGTAATCTCAGAGTGGTGGTGGTTTGGTCTCATCAAGTCAGTCTTTCTGTTTTTTTCCCCTTTTCTTGTCTTTTTTGTAAAGATCCTGAGTGTCCACATAGTGAAATGTGTTTGTTTCCTTTTAGGGGAAGTTGACTTTCAGTGATGTGGCCATAGAGTTCTCTCAGGAGGAGTGGGAATGCTTGGACCCTGCACAGAGGGCTTTGCACAGGGATGTCATGTTGGAGAACTACAGCAACCTGGTCTCCCTCGGTAAGGATGACTTCTTTCAAGAGTTGGGAATCTTTGCCATGTAACCTTGCAGTTTTCTTTCCATGCCTTTGGGGGAACCATGTGGCCTCTTCCTTTCTTCTTCCCACTGTTCCCTCTTCCTTCTCTTTGCTCAGCATTGGGAATAGAACCTAAGACTTTTTCACCAACAAGCACTGGGTGTTATTTCTGGCCCTTGTGGTAGATTTTGTTTTTGTTTTGATCTCTTGAGTTATATAATGTAGAAGCCTTGACCTTAAGAGTTGGTTTTTTGTTTTTTTGTTTTGTTTTGTTTTGCCTCACATTCCCTAGTGCTGGAATTACTGGCATGTGTCACTACACATGACTCATGTCACCTAGATTTGTGTTTAAAGTATCCAATGTTGAGTGTTCTGTGTTGTGTGGGGTGTTCAAAGAAGGAGAGTCATGTGAAGATGTAAATTTTAGGCCCTCTGGCAACAGGGAGAAACAGTTTCTGTGACCTAAACTTTGAACCTATGTTCAGAAGCATATTTATTGACAGTACACAATAGTTGTATTAGGAGTACCAAAGCCCCTTTGGTCTATATGCTTTCTGGAGGAAATCATCACATTCCCAAAACCTTTACTTCTTATTTTGTACTGCTTGCAGTACCTAATAGTGCAAGATCTCCAGGTGTGTCTGGATAGTCCTGTAGCCAAAATCATACAACAGAAAACAAATCTATAAATCATAGAAAGCAGTCACTCTTCTCTATTGTGGTTTCTTCATGGTTTGGTACCTTCAACTAACACTAATACATTCTACTGTTGCCCTATATATAGTGAGGAACAGCTATTATATTTTATGTTTACCCTAGATACAAATGATTGTATTAGAGTCCCACTACATCCAATTCTTTGCTTTCTTTCCCTGAACTTTTGATTCAGTCATTTTGATATATAACTAGATATCTGTCCATTAAACTCCCAGAAGGAGGCTGTCAGTAATAATTTTTATTTTTCTAGATTTATATGAAGCTTGCTCTCTCCCCACATTAGCATAGGACAGATATTCTATAAAAACCTCACTACATGGTATTACTGTCTTTTTATAAACAGGAGTCACACTTCCTAATCTGAATATTATGTCTATGTTGGAAGAAGAGAAAGGGTCCTGGATCGTGGAGAGTAAGGCAGTAATAACCAGAAAACCGAATGGACAAGAATATGTGAGGACAGGTAAGCTCTCAGAGGGTACAGTGGAAACTGCACCGCTGTGCATTGGCAAGTCAGGGTTTCTATGGGAAACATAAGTCTGTCACTATCCTTTACAGGTAGAGAACTTGAGCCTTTAACTCTCTCGTGGTGTCCTGGTAGTTTTGTTTGTTTTTAATCTTTTTTCTTCTTTGTGTATTTGAGGTAGTGTCTCACTTTCATTTCAGACTGATCTGAAACTCACTGTGTAGCTCTTGGTAAGCATCCTGTCTCAGCCTTCCAAGTGCTAGGATTAGATGCATGAGCTACCATTGATGGCCATTTGATTAAATTTTGACAGAGGTGCTATACAAGGTTCATGGTGAAATGTTGAACTCTCTTTGACAATGTGAAATGGAACATTCTGTGTGGGAGGAGGATGGGTAGCAATGTTATCTCTGCAGACCAGGCTAGCATGGAACTCTCAGTTCTCCTGCTTTAGCCTGACAATTGATATAATTATGTATGGGGGCCTCCATGCTTCCCTGACGTAGAACTTTGAAGAGGTGAATCTAATTTGAAAGAGGTAACTGGATGAGCCACCCTGAGAGGATTAATGTTGAACATAATGATGTATTAGTAAGGCTAAGCTGGGCCTGGTGGTAAATGACTTTAATCCCAGTACTTGAGAAGCAGAGGCAGGAGGATCTTTATGAGTTTGAGACAAAGCTGATCTACATAATTGAGTTCCAATTATGTAGTGAGAGTCTGTCTCAATAGAAATAAAACTTAAAAACTGAAATAATTAGGCTAACACAAAACAACACATAATGGTTTCCTACTTGGTTCATTTTGTCCAGTAAAATGTTCTCTGGGATGATAAATGTTATCATATTTAGAACTTCATTTCCCTGGACAAATAAAACTCATCATACACACACACACACACACACACACACACACACAGGCAGCTATTTACACACAGGTAAATTAAATAATTTTGCTACTAAAAATAACACCAAGAATAGTGCAGGCATCACTCAAAAGCTGAGTTGCCAGATGATATAATAGCAACATCTGTCTTTTGCCTCTGTCTCAGAATGTTTCCTCTTCCGTACTTATTGTCACCATTGTGAAACCTCCCATGATAACTGAGAAGAACCAAATGAAACAGGCTTTTGTTACTTTGCATTAGGTATTTTCCTCTCCATACCATATATCCAAAAGTGAATTAATAGCCAAAATGTAAAACCTGAAGTAAGCCAGCATGAAAACAGCCAGCCTAAAAATGTGTGTGTGTGTGTGTGTGTGTGTGTGTGTGTGTGTGTGTGTGTGTTAGGCAAGAGGTGGTGCTTACACCTAGGGCCTAGCTAAGCTAGAACCATACTAGGCTCCCACCCCATTAGAAATGTTGTATTCATTTTACTTTTTATGTATTCTTTTTTTGAGATGAACATTGCACAGGCCACTCAGACTCCTCAGATGGATTAGAGGTACACATCACGATGCCTAACTTTAATACATATTTACTGAAGAGAAATGATACATGAAATGAAGTTCAGCATTACTATTTTGCAGAAATGCCAATTTTTACCAAAGTGAATGTCACCTTCACTTGGAAAGATAGCTATTGTGGAAAAGGTGAGCCTTGATCTGGATGTGGTAGAAAGGGAATTTGGGTTCTCTGTTGTTGGGAATCTAGATTGGGATTCATTAATGAGAACTAATTACAGACAAATCAGAAAAAGTAAATAGAACTACTGTATAATCAATAAGGCAGTTCAACTTGTGAGTGTAGATACTGAAGACTAATGATGACATGTACATGGCATGGCTATATTGTTCTTGTGACTTATGTTTGTGACATTATTGCTAGTTGCCAAGTTAAGTAATAGACCATGTGTTCATAACCAATGCATCTATGTGTAGTCAGAGGCTGCTCTTTTGTTTCCTGGCTGCCTAGACCCAAAATAACTACACAGAAACTATATTATTTAAAACACTGCTCAGCTTGTTAGTGTATTCATGTTTATAGCTAGCTCTTACATCTCAAATGAACCCATTTCTATTATTTTAAATTTTACCATGTGGTTCGTGGTTTACCAGTAAAGTTCTGGGGTCACATCTGTCTCCTTCAGTGGCTACATGGTGTGTCACTTACTCCACCTACTTTCTCTCTATATCTCTTTCAGCCTGGCTTTACTCTGTTAAGCCATTGTCTGAAAGCAGCTTCTTCATTAACCAATGGCAATAAAACATATGCACAGCATACATCACCTCCCAAATCACCTCCCTTTCCTATCTAAATAAAATGGAAGGTTTTAACTTTAACATAGCAAGATTACATATGACAAAATATGTATCAAGCAATAATTACAGTTACAATATTTATATCTACTTGATCTTTTATCATAACTAAGGAAAACTATAATTATAACTATTCTTCAACTCCATCAAAGACCCCAACAAGAATATCATATTGCCTAAGTTAACAGGAAGTGCATTGTAAGCAACTTCCAGAACTCTAAAATTGACAGAGACATCTCGCTGCCTAGTCTCCCAAAGTTCTTCTTTAATATTGCAGGCACTCATTTTCAGCCTACAGGCCCATAGTATCTGGCATAGTTTTCTATGAAGCAGGAAATTTCAAAGACAGTTCCACCTATATTGGCTGACAAACTGCAGAATGTCTGGCAGACTTTTTCATGAAGCAGGAACATCTTCTTTAAGCAGCTTCAGTACTCATTTCAGTCAAATAGTTCAGGCAAGAACAGTTTCTTCTCCAAATGGCTAACAAACTCCATAAGGAGCCTCTTCGATGCCCATCATCCTCTTGAAGTAGATTGGTGATGCCAGGAGCACATGTGTCTCATTGTCGAGAAAAGTCCTAAGTTCTTAAAACATTCTAAATGCCAAAATCTGTAGGTCTTTGAAAGGTTTGAAGGTTATCTGTCTAACTGAAATATATTTATATATTTAGAAAATCTAACAAACATGACTACAAGCTTGACTATAATAGATGACTATGTCTTAACCTGTATATAGAATCTTTAGGAAACTGCAGCAGAGACATTCTAAAATGCTGGGTCACCTGAGATGCTTGTCTTTATTGTTATCTGATCCCTTTATTTTCTGAAAACACAAACTTTATGTAACATATGTATCTGCATTAAAACAAATATAGAATGGTGTGTACAGGTCAGCTAAAAGGTGGTTTTTGTTCTATGTTTTAGCAGGTATAAAGGATCTGTTAACTTTATAAGTCTCTAGATTATTTAAACAAACCTCTATCCATGCCATTTGTAAAGATGATATGGAATAATAAATCATGAGGCCTCTTTAGCAAACAAGATTTATCATGTTTCATCTAGTCTCAGAGCTATTCCCATGTGGAGGTATCAGCATGTACATCATCTGTTTTTTAGTTTTTCTTGTTTTTTGTTTGCTTGTTTTTTTCTTCATTTCTATAACCAAGACTTTTAGGAGCTTTCTCCCAAACAAATCTGATCTTCATTAATTTTGAAGCAATTTATAGCTGTTTGCTTTCTGTAGAGTCATAGGCAAAACATCTTTCCCAACACATCAGATTTCCTACCTTACATTATGAAGTTATGACATTCTTAAAATACTTAACTTAGCTTTTTTTTTTTTCTCCAATCGACTGTCTTTCAGGAGCATTTGTGTTTTGCTCATCAGCATTCAAAAATTTTAAAGTCATCAAAGCAATATATAAGATCCAGCCCTATGTATTTCCCATCCTTACACTGCTTTTTAAAAATTACTTTACTTTATTATTTTTAAACTATTTATTGATACCCATTTTTTTTCTTCTTTTAGCATCTAAGCATACACTCAGGCACGCTGTATGTTGTACCCTGTTCAGAGGCTTTCTTGACTCAAATCTGAGTTTATGCATGTCTGTACCTTCTCTGTCCACATGAACCAAACCTTTACTCTCTAGGGTGAGCACATGGCTTGGCCACTGGCTCTGCCTCCTTTGACCTAATGATCCCAGCTCTGGAAAGTTGCTGAGATCAAGATGCAGTAGGTGTTTTTACCTAGCATATCAGCTGTTCAAGTGCGCTGATGTACAGCAGAATCTTTTAAAGAATCTGTGATTCTGTATGCTGTAAGAAAAGTGCCTACCCGAAAGAACATGGTCACCAGAAAGTCACACTTGGGACTTTTTGTTCCAACTTTCTCAGGCCCTATGTAGATTTATGTGCTGACTGTTGGGGGCTAAATGTAGCAAGTTTTCTTGTCTAGCTATCTTCGGATCACTAGCCTGCAAATAATGATTTGGAGACTTATCATTAATTATGAAAGATGCGCCTTATTTTATGCTTTTTCCCAATTAGCTCTTATAACTTAACTTATCTCTATTAATATACGTTATGTCATGTTGCTCAGGTTCTTTGCTCAGTACCATATGTCTGACTTTTTCAGTGTCTTACTGGCATTTCCCCCTTTCTTCCCAGAGTTCCTTCTCTCTCCCCAGGAGTCCCACTTATTCTCTCCTGCCTAACTATTGGCCCTTCTACTTTTTATTAATCCAAATCACAGTGACACATATCCTCACAGTGTAAACAAATACTCCATAACATGACATATTACTTATCTCACATATTACTTGTGAGAGACAGCAAACATTCCATTCATGTTTGCATTGGATCATGCCCACTTTTTTTTTTAAACTCTACTTTTTCTCTTTCCTCTTCCCTGATAGATTCTCTTCTACTCTATAATTTTTTTTTGAATCAGGCTTTTTAGAAACATTCCCACATCTAAGACAAAATATGCTACTTTTGTCTTTGTATTTAATTTGTTTTGCTTAATGCAGTGCTCTCCAGTTCTGTCAGTTCTTCTAATGAATGACGGGATTCCATGTATTCTTTATCATTGAATGAGTCTGTAATGCCTATGTTTATGAATCAGTCTGTGGATGAACGTGAGGGCTGATTCCATGTCGTGGGTATTGTGAGCCTTAGTTTCATAATCATGGCTATACATGTTTCTATATAATGACTTTGTTTCATACATAAAAACACGGGAGTTAAATGGCAATGATATGTTTCTTTTTTTTGTACTACTGTAATAGAAAGTCCTGTTTATTCTTAATATGAAAGTGTTTACCGTTTTACAACGTGATATTTTATTTTTAATATATGTCATTTTTAATTAGATGTGTGTGTATGTGTGTGTGTGTGTGTGTGTGTATGTGTGTGCACAGGAGTTCAGGTGCCTGCAGAGTTCAGACAAAATTGTTGGATCTTCTGGAGCTGGCATTATAGGTGGTTGAGAGTTGTCCAATGTAGGTCTTGGGAACCCATCTCAGCTCTTGTACAAGAGTAGTGCATACTCATAAGCACGAACAGTGCTTTAGATCTTCAGTTCCTATATTTATCAATTTATGAACTTATGTAGTCATAAGTTCGCCTGCTTGCTTTGTCATGAAATCCAAAAATTGCTTTATAATATTTACTAGGACCTATAAGTGATTGTTTTTTGTATGTGCTGTGCAGTAAAAATGACATGCACTGCTTGTTAATGTTAAAAAATGCCCATCATTAGTGGGTCTAGGTAAGTTTATGAGAGATGATTACATTGTTTTTGCTGGTACTGTTTCTGTCAATTTTTCTTCTAGCTATCATTTTGCAATTCAAAATTGCCACCTACTTATATAAATTTAATTATTATTACCTTCCATTTTAATTTATTTTGGTGCTTTAGTGTGTATTTCTACAGAATATGCTGTTAATATCTACTTTCCTCCCCTCAGTTATAGTATAGCCATATACTTTTTGGCAATTAGTATACACCTTTATATGATGGAAAAATATTCTTTTCCTGATTTATGCTACTTTACTCAATATGAAGAATTTGGTCTGGGTTATTTGAAACAGTCACGTTTTCCTGATGATTTAAATTACATATAAATTAATTACATTAATTATGAGATCAGTCATTTTATAATGCTTACATTATCTTTTATGGTTCTAAAAATTGATAAGTTAACTCAGTAAATCTTATTTTGCTGCGCTGGAACTTTTTTCAGAGTGGAATATCTGTCTTAATTAATGAAAAATCTGTTATGTCTTCTAGTCAACTGTCTTGAGCATGTAATTAAAGATTTACCACCAAAAGAGAGCGGCAATTCAGGGGAAGTAGACCAGACAGTGGTGTCAGAAAGATATAAAAGCAGTGGCACTGAAGACTGTTCCTTCCGAGGACTCCAGAAGAACGTACAGGATTTTGAGAGGAAAGACAGTGAAAGGAGTTATAAATTCACCCATAGAAGACATCAAGATTGTAGAAAGAATACAGGAAAATGCCTTAGGAACTCACTTGAAATGCAGCCATTTCCATCTACAGAGAATATTGATGATGATGAACTTAAGTCTATCACCAGTGGCTTTTCAATTTCATCATCTGAACAGATTTCGTCTATTGGTGTCAAAGCTCACATTGTTCATGAATACGAATATGATGTTTATTGTTCACTACTTATGAAAAGACACAAAGCACACATTAAGGAAAAACCTTATCAGTGTAATGAGTGTGGCAAGGTCTTCAGTTATACTTCTTCTCTGGCACATCATCGGCAAATTCATACTGGAGAGAAACTTTACAAATGTGTCCAATGTGGTAAGGCTTTTTTTCGACGTTCTTACCTTTTGGTACATGAGAGGCATCACACTGGAGTAAAACCTTACAAATGTAATGAATGTGGCAAGGTCTTCACACAGAATTCACACCTTACAAGTCATCGGAGAATTCATACTGGTGAGAAACCATACAAGTGTAATGAATGTGGCAAAGCCTTTAGTGTTCGTTCAAACCTAACTAATCATCAGGTAATTCATACTGGTGAAAAACCTTATAAATGTAACGAGTGTGGCAAGGTCTTCAGTCAGACTTCAAGCCTTTCAGTTCATCGGAGAACTCACACTGGAGAGAAACCTTACAGGTGCAATGAGTGTGGGAAAGCCTTTAATTCACATTCAAACCTAAATACCCATCAGATAATCCATACTGGAGAAAAACCCTACAAATGTTCAAGGTGTGGCAAGGTCTTTACTCAGAATTCACACCTTGCAAATCATTGGCGAATACATACTGGAGAAAAACCTTACAAGTGTAATGAGTGTGGAAAGGCTTTTAGTGTGTATTCCAGCCTCACTACCCATCAAGCAATCCATAGTGGAGAAAAACCTTACAAGTGTGATGAGTGTGGCAAGGTTTTCACGCAAAATTCACATCTTGCAAGTCATCGTGGAGTCCACAGTGGGGAGAAACCTTACAAATGTGAAGAATGTGGCAAAGTCTTCAGTCAGACTTCAAACCTCGCAAGGCATTGGAGTGTTCATACTGGGGAGAAACCTTACAAATGCAATGAATGTGGCAAAGCTTTTAGTGTGCGTTCAAGCCTAACTTCCCATCAGGTAATCCATACTGGAGAAAAACCTTACAAATGTAATGAATGTGGCAAGGTCTTTAGTCAGACTTCAAGCCTTGCAATTCATCAGAGAATTCACACTGGAGAGAAACCTTACAGGTGCAATGAGTGTGGGAAAGCCTTTAATTCACATTCAAACCTAAATACCCATCAAGTAATCCATACTGGAGAAAAACCCTATAAATGTCTGGAATGTGGCAAGGTCTTTACTCAAAATTCACACCTGGCAAATCATCGCAGAACCCACACAGGAGAGAAACCTTACAAGTGTAATGAGTGTGGCAAAGCCTTCAGTGTGTACTCAAGTCTGACTACTCATCAGGCAATCCATACTGGAGAAAAACCCTATAAATGTCTGGAATGTGGTAAAGTCTTCACTCAAAATTCACACCTAGCAAGTCACCGTAGGACTCATACTGGAGAAAAACCTTACAAATGTGATAAGTGTGGTAAAGCCTTTAGTGTGCGTTCAAGCTTGACTACCCATCAGGCAATCCATACGGGAGAAAAACCTTATACATGTAGTGTGTGTGGCAAAGTCTTTAGTCGAAGTTCTAACTTTGCAAGTCATCAGAGACTTCATATTGGACAGAAACTTAAGTGACTGTAGCAAGGCCTTCAGCCCCAATTCACTTGCACAATATCCAGGAATTCAATCTTAAGAAAATATTAATTTAAATGATAGAACAACACTCATCAAGAGTTAAAGTACATCACTGGTTATGGTTGTATGCATGCAAACCACACACTTGTCAGACAGTTGTGGGATTTACCAGAGGAATAAGTCTTCATCTTCCATAGCTAATCTTTGATGTTACAGGCAACAAAATAATTGTTAATTGCAGAACAATTAAAATTCAGAATAGGCTAAAACTATACACACACACATATATATTGCAAGACTACATTGATATACCTGGTTGCCTTCAGGATATAAATTAGTCATTGTTTTGTATTTCCCTGCAAAGTCTTCCTTATAATTTATGATTGTCAGCCTCAACTTTGTGATGGTACAGTTCTTGCCCCAGGGCCTTTTTCTTCCACCCTCTGGGAAAAACAGGATGAAAAATCACATTAGTATGAAAGGAACATGTCTATAATTTCTGAGAATGGCTCCACCTTTGAATTAACTATTGCTTAACTTACTGTTTTGTTTTAGTTTTGATTAACCCTATAACCAAAGCCAACTAAAATGTTTATTTCATCTTATGGATTATAGTTAATTAAGATAAGCCAGAGCAGGGGCTAGAGTAGGAATGTGGAGGCAGGAACTAAGGTAGACAATGGAGAAGGTATGCCTGCTGGTTCACTTTTCATGGCTTAACTTCCCTTATACAACCCAGTACCACCTAGTGGTAGTGCCCAAATTGAACTAGGCCCTCCCAGAAAATGTTTGTCAGATATGCTCAAGTCCAGACTGATGGAGGCAATTTCTTAAGAATCCCTCTTTCCAGGTAATTCCTGGGTGCCAGGTTGACAAGATCTAAACAGAACATTTATCATCTGAAAGGCATGGGATATTGTAAAACTGCAACACAAAGTTTTCAAGTTCATTGTGTAATTTGGAGGTTATCTGTGTGGCATCAGCAATTAAATGGGAATGAAATTAGAATATTGAACTTTTTTTCTTTTAGTTTTCTTTTTTATTTATTAAAAATTTTCCCCTCCTCCCATTTCCCTCCTTCTCCAGTCCTAAGAGCAGTCAGGGTTTCCTGCCCTGTGGCAAGTCCAAGGCCCTCCGCCCCCCATCCGGATCTAGGAAGGTGAGCATCCAAACAGACTAGGCTCCCACAAGGCCAGTCCATGCAGTAGAATCAAAACTCAGTGCCAGTTCTTGGAGAAAATCAACAAGATTGACTTAGAAGAATATTGAACTTTTTATGAAATGAGAACAATATACTCATAGGGATGGATTGTCTGGTAAAATACAGAAGGCATAGTTAGCATCTACATTGACTGGCAATAGCTTTTATACAGCAAAATATAATTTTTCTTACTGTTTAATTTGAAGAAAGAAACTTTTAGAATGGACCATTTAACCCAAGGAATCAAAGTGTAGGAGATGGCCATAGAGGTTGTGGAGAAGCACTTGTCTACCATATGTGAGGCCCTCAGCAGCACCAAAAGTAAAAATACACTGAAGTTTTCTTGAGGATATCATTTAACTATTGTTGTTAAGCTTTGCCACTATTTTATTCAAAATATATCCTTGACCTAATTTTTAGTTAAAGCTTTTTACATTCCTGCGAATGTGTTTTTAATTCTTCTGTATAGTCTTTTTCTGTATCAGTACAATGCTCCTCCAAGGAAATGAGAAAATGAAGTAAAGCTCCTCAGGTTGAGGTTTCTATACTTCGTATGAAATCAAACGCTATAAAGTTTTAGGGCCCTATAATCATTTTTCATTGAATTTATTCTGTCTATGCCCAAAGGATACTTGTGTAGATATAATGGACATCAAGAAGATACATTGTGTAGACTACCAAAGCAAAGGTAACATGTTTTTGTATACACCTGTTGACTCTTCATAGCTGTGCAGTACTTTCATTGATTGATATAAACTATGCAGTCTTCATTCTGGTTGACTTTCCACATGAATAAAATTTGAGTGGCTGGAGAGATGGCTCAGTGGTTTAGAGCACCGTCTGCTCTTCCAGAGGTCCTGAGTTCAATTCCCAGCAACCACATGGTGGCTTACAACCATCTGTAATGAGATCTGGTGCCCTCCTCTGGTGTGTGGGCATACATGGAGGCAGAATGTTGTATACATAATAAATAAATAAATCTTTAAAAAAAATTTTGAAAAACAACCAGTACTATTAGAATCATGAATTCAACTATTTAATGAAAAAAGTTTACCATAAGCACTATTTAGTAAACATGAAGTTAAAATGCATGAAGTAATATGAATAAAATATTTCAGAATTTCTGAAGGGAGATAATTTATTACTCTTCTATTACTGCTATAATACCCCCCCCCAAAAAAGCAAGTTAGGGGAAAAAAGGTCATTTTATTTTACAGTTTTCAGAGGAGATACAGTCAGTAATGACAAGGAAGACATGGCAACCAGTACCAGAACAGAAAGTTGGGCCATGCTGTAAGACGTCAAAGGACAATTCCCAGTTACCTCTTTCGGTCCACAACCCAAATAGTGTCACCAACTGGGGACCAAATGTTTAGTTACATGAGCCTTTGGGAGACTTTTCTTATTGAACCCTTCATTGACTTCCCTCAGTGTTGCATCCTTTCTTCCCTAAACCAGTATGAACTGGAAAATACTAAGCTCTGCCTCCAACTTTTTATGAAGCTTTCCCTTGGGCCAGTTGCATCAACTTCTGCACACGGAAGCTGGTAAAAAACTTTCCTATTTGCTTTGTTGGGGCAAAGGAATCCTAACGTTTCACCGCTCATAAGTTGTGGCCTTAGCTGTTGGAGTTTTGCTTATCTTCCTGTGCCACGTGTTTTTTACTATCGACTCATAAGTAGCCAGTAATAATGCCACAAAATAGTGTGGTATTTTGAATACTTTCCCAAAGAAATCAGCCCATTGCTTCCTAATGCAATGTCACTCAAATTCTTGCGGTGGGGGGGAGGTATAGAATTCAGCAGGATCCTTTGCCAGTACATAACATAAACTGATATTAGAGTCCTTGCTTTCTTATGAAGTCTCGTGAGCTATACTTCCGCATTTTGCCTTTTTCTCAGTATTGCTGTCATCCCTGATCACACTAGAAGTCCCATTAAGTTCTACTTATAGCATTCAGTAGTATTTCCAACCAAAATACATCATGGGACTTTGCTTCCACAGAATACAGGCCTATAAACCACATGGTTGGGCGTTGGGACCTAATGGAGTCCTGGCCTTCCTACTCATCTCCTCTGTTGGTGACCTTTTTTGCCCTTGTTCTGGGTTTCTGAGAAACTTAATAGTTCCTTACTCAGAGTTGTTTATCAACCCTGCTTCCTGCGTACGCATTGCCTTGGCCCTAACCCGAGGATTCGGCGATGAGGTCTTCATCCTGTTGACCCACCTGTCTGTTAGGTATAAACACCCTTGGTGATGTAGCACCATTTGGGTTTGAAGTTTCTAGGCTGACTTTGAAGTTTGGAGGCTGGCTACCTGCCTCTACCACCCAAGTTCTGAGAATACAGGTTTGTATCCAATGTTTGGTGATAATTTCCTGGTATCTTTTACTAACTTATTGGTGGACTGATGTTTATTTGCAAAAGTTGAGGTCATGAGATTATTAAGCACATACTGGGATATTAGGTTTTTGTCATTTTTGTTTTCTTGTTATTTACTACTTTTCTTTTTCTTAAATTTTATTTTCTTTTTGTCTCTTTACGTGCACACCCATGAAAGTGGATGGCAAAGTTTCAGAGTGCATGTACCTGTACAGGACAGTGGCATCTGACCTGCTATAGATAAGAGATTCAAACTAAGATGCTCAAGAGAGCAAAATGTTTTATTTACCAGAGTATAATATCTCTAACAGCAGGACCTTTGTTTTCCTTATAAAATAAGTGTGGTTTTCCTTTGTAATCCTTATATGAAGGCAGCACTATTCGGGTACGCATGGCTCATCACCCAGCATGCTCCTGTAGCAATATATCATTCTTTGAAAACTTCTCTTAGAGTATGTAAACATTCATGCCTCATTTGCATTGACCTGAAAAGTCTTTAAATCAAATTAAATGAACATTGTTGAGTAATTTTAAAAGCCACACATCTGAAAGGTATTAGGAATTTATAATGTCCTGCAGATATATAAGCGGATATTTGAAGGCCATAGGAGTTAAGGCAGCATGAAGGATCAATCCCTAACTTCTCTGTTATCCCACTACCACTTTAAACAGTACATGGATTTACAAACTCTTTAATTTTTGTGCTGAAATCATGTCTTTTTATATAATCAAGGTAATTGTTTGCCTAGTGTGCTGGGTAAAATTTTGCCAGATATTCTGCATTCTATGTTATGCAGAGGAGCACAGAATGACAGCTTTTGTGTGAAAAATTTCTCAGGAGATTTTGGAGGCAAATTGACTTCTGTCTTCCAAGAGTGGACAGAGTTGTGTATATTGGAAGCACCAAATTCCTTGGTGTCTTCCAGGACAACACCATCAACCCCAGTAGATCCATCTGGGCAGATTTTAAACACAAATTTCACAGGTACACTGGTTCCTTATTGTACTTGGGTTGGGTCCTTCATTTCCTTTTGAATAAGGCTTTTCCTGAGTAAATAGCTACAAAACACAACAAAAATATTTCGTACTTAATAGATTACAACTGTAGGACTCTTCTCCCAAAGAGAGCAAGTGAAAAATCTGTATTTGCTAGCTTCATAGTTTCTAGACATTCTGTGTGTGAGGCTCATGTCCTGGCCCAGTAGTTCTAGGATCATCCTCCAAAACCAAAAACAGAGAAATTCAGCATATGCTCAGAACAAAACTCTTACTCATTCACCTCTGAGCCCAGAGCTTCCAACCACTTCCTTCTCCTGGTCAGTCCCTTTGCTTGCTTCAAGACACTACTGCATTTTATCATCTATTTAAGTCTTTTTATTAGTCTCAGTTGGTCCCTGCTAAGTGTGTCTATTATTCACTGGAGGTTTCCCCACTGTCATCCCCTTCTGCTATAATATATAGCCCCAGTGCATCCACCTTTTGCTATCTCTGCATAAACAACAGAACAAGCCATCACCAACATGTAATTTGAAAACTGTACGGTTGCACAGCATTCATAATCACACCACAGAAATGTTCCCACTTTATAAAAAGTCATTTCTCATGGGACATTATTGTTTATCCAGGACTGCTATTATTCATCCCATTCAGACTAGTGAGTATTGTGCCTATCATGAATATTCCAATAAAAATGAAAACCTATTAGAATGAAAGTTTCTAATTATAAACTTATTTAAAATAATAGCAAAGTGTTTTAGCAAAATTGCTTCTGCTTTATTTTAAATGATTGACTTCTTTAAGAAATTATTGATATATCAATTTATTTTCAATTATTTTATGTTTCTGACTTAGCTGTTGCTCATGATATATTCATGAATGAAAAAATAATTTTCTTTTACAAAATTGTTTTATTTATCTCACAAACAATGGTCTTTTATTGAAAAGTTAGTTACATGGCTCAGTATCTTTCTCAGCGGGGCAGGTCACATCCTACTTCTTCGGTGTCTGGACAGGATTGCAGAGAAATGGGCTTCCTCCTTTCCATAATTCTCCTGTTCTCACTGACCTGCCTCTACTTCCTGTCTGGTTGTCTCACGTATACTTCCTGCCTGGCTACTGGCCAATCAGCATTTATTTAAAGCATAATTGACAGAATACAGACCATTCTCCCACACTACTTCCCCCCCCCCTTTTTTTAAACAAAGGAAAATATTCATAGTCCATTTTGGGAGAATTTGGACATAGTTTTCCAGGCTATTTTCTGCTGGTTGGGGGTGCTGATAATCTTATGGGGACCCAAAGAAAATTCAGAGTTATGATCAAGTCCTGACTGGAGTATCCTGTGAGTCTTGATCATCTCAGGCAGTAGTCTTGAATCTGTTCTGGATGTAGAACTCAGACATCTGGGCCATCTGTTCCTATTTCTCAGGTGGTCTTGCTTGAAATTTCACAACTCAGAATGAATCCACAGCATCTCATTTCACCCTACCCCAACCCTATACTAGTTATAACCAACCCCTAATTGATGTCCCTAACCCTGAGGACATTGTTGTGACAGGGGATGTTGTGGTGGTGATGTTCTTTCCATGATGCTTTCTACAACTAAAATAGTGGTAAGATTCAAGATTACTATCTGTTATGAATGCAAATAGTCTCTGTGTAGTCAGTAGGGTATTTCTAAGATTCTTATTTGGACTTCTTGCCAAAACATTGTAAGAAGGTGTACCATTTCAGCTAACCAATCTTAATGTAGCCTTATCAGCATCATGATGTCATATCAACTAGGTGGAATCGTTGTGGAGTTCCATCTTCTTCCTGAAAACTCCAAAGATTATTGAAGGAAAATTTATTATTGTGGAAAATTTAAACTTTATTCATATAGACATATATTCAGCAAAAGCTATGATAGAAATAAAAAAATTATGGGAAAAAGTAAAATCATTCCTAAACTCTTTCTTCTTTCTGTCCCATTCCAGAGGACTCCTAATAAGCATCAAAAACTCTGAATTTTTCTTTAAACAACAGGCTTGGATTTAGAGGATAGCTAGCAGTGTTCAACTACAAAGCCAGTTTAATTTTTTTGTCTTTGTTTTATTTTCCAGATCTCCACATACCAGGTGCATACCCTATGACTCATTTGGATCCCTGGCCCTTTATTTTATCTTTTATTTATTCATTTATTGAAAGAAAAACAATATTTTGTTTTTCTTTGTACATACCAATTGAAGTTCCCACACCTCCCTACTCCCTGTCCCTCCAAATACTATCCCACCCCATCCAATCCTCAGAGAGTGTAAAGCACTTTACTTTGGGGTAGGTCCATGGCCCTCTCAACTATATCTAGGATGAGCAAGGTATCCATCCAAAAAGAAAAGGTTCCCAAAAAGCCAATATAAGCAATAGGGATGAATCCTGGTGCCACTGCCAGTGGCCTCTCAGTTTGTCCCAGCCATACAAATGTCAATCACATTCAGAGGGAATAGTTTGGTCCTATGCTGTTTCTTCCCTGTCTGGCTGGAGTTGGTTGAGCACCATTAGCTCAGGTAGACTGCTTCAGTGGGTGCTCATATTCACATTCCTCCCACTGTTCAAATTGACTTTGAGAGCTCATTGCAGTATTCCGATGTGGGTCTCTGCCTCTGTTTTTTTTTTTTTTTTTATTTTATTTTACTGAGAAAAGTTTCCACCTCCTCCCAGCCTCCCATTTCCCTCCCCCTCCTCCCACCCTTCTCCCCCTCCCCCCACTCCTCTCCCCCTCCCTCTCCAGTCCAAAGAGCAGTCAGGGTTCCCTGCCCTGTGGAAAGTCCAAGGTCCTCCCCCCCTCCGTCCATGTCTAGGAAGGTGAACATCCAAACTGGCTAGGTTCCCACCAAGCCAGAACATGAAGTAGGATCAAAAATCCCGTGCCATTGTCCTTTGCTTCTCATCAGCCCTCATTGTTTGCCATGATCAGAGAGTCCGGTTTTATCCCATGCTTTTTCAGTCACAGTCCAGCTGGCCTTGGTGAGCTCCCAATAGATCAGCCCCACTGTCTCAGTGG